CCGTCTAGTTAGATTCCATTTGAAAACCATGAAATCCATTATGCTTGTAAATTAAGGCAATATCGAGGCATACGCACAGTATGCACATATGCCAATAAGAGACTGATCAATTTCAGTCCTAAAACATCAATGGGAAGATTCAAGTAAAACAATATCAAGTGAATTAAACTTCACCCCATTGCACAAGCAAGTAGCTATCAGGACTCAGTAGCTAAGTGGATAACGCGATGGCGTTTGAAGCGAACGGCACTGAGTTCGAGTCCCAGAGTGAACATCAACTCTGAGATGCAGGTACATCCGGCTGACGAGTTCCAAACAGGACGAAACGCGCGTCCTGGATTCCACTGCTAGCCACTATCCATCTTTGCTTATATTATCCGTTTTGCCTAAAAAAAGTCATATCAATCACTATATAGTAAAGCTATCGTTACTCTAGAAAATTAAGATAGTTAACTTTTATTAGTACTGTATGTGTAAATTGTAGTTCACTTTTAATAAAATTGTGTTTTTCATGAAAACAAATGTTGCTTATGAATTCCAACAATTAACTAGACTATAAAGTACTGAAGAAAACTTACGAAAGAACGGAAGTACTTTTTCAGTAATGAAGGTAATGATTTTGCTTCACTTTTTTTACATAGATTTTTCTTTAATAAAATTTTACTTGGATAATACATTCCTAACATATGAGTTCATTAAAAAAGAAATTATCATTCACTTCCCTAATTTATAGTTATTACATGATTGTCAAGTCAGTTGTGTGAAACGGAGTTTCACAATTGATTGATCACTGGGTGGCGATCAATGTCATGCGTGTCTAGTCCTTATTAGTGCAGATCGAATGCTATCGATCATGTTGCAATGTGGCCACCAGTCTAGGTGACTCGACACTGCGGGTACTATATATTGAGATTAGATGGTAGTTGAAGGTAGTCAACAGGAAACCCTGGACCCGGGTTTCGTGCTACTTGGCACTCGTCAGCAAGGTGTACCTGTAATCTTCTCGACCTTGGGTATGCGGATCATATTGTCTTACTGTGCGATAATGCCCAAGCCATGCAATCCGCGGTATGGGCTTTGCACCTTCGGAGTGCAAAGTACTTCTACAAGACTGGCAGGATTCTAATCCTGTACTCACCCTGGATGGTGAGCAGATAGAAGTATTCGAGAAGTTCGTGTATCTAGGTAACTGCATAAGTGCTGGTGGTGGCGTGAGTGATGAGATCAATGCTTGTACAGTGAAAGCCAGAGTGGCTTATGCCAATCTTTGGCGCTTTCGTGATGTCAGTCTGGCTGTAAAAGGTCGGATCTACAACGCGTCGGTAAGAGCAGTTTTGCTCTATGCTTGTGAAACCTCGCCTCTCGGAGTTGAGGATGTTAGACGACTCTGTGTTTGATCATCGTTGTCTCCGAAAAGATTGCTGACATCCAGTGGCAACACCATGTTAGTAATGCAGAGGTTCGGCATCGTGTGTTCGGGCGCAGAGATGATAATCCAATCGGTTTCACCATCTTGAAACATCGACTTCGGTGGCTTGGACATGTCCTACGAATTTCGTCCTAGAGAATTCCACGCCGTGCATTATTTGCCGACGCTGGAACTGGTTGGAAAAGGCGGAGAGGTGGTCAGTGTATGACATGGTGTCGTGGTACGAAAGAAAGCTGCAAAGGACTGGCTTGTGTTGGTCCTTCACGTCTTCCTGGCTGGGGTCCGAGAGATGGCGCTACAGTGTCTACAGACATAATCAGATATGGCTCAGAATAGAGGTCAGTGGTGGTCCTGCTGTAACCTTCTTTTACTTTCTTCATATAAAGTGGTTGTAACTTCCTTAACTGAAAGATTTCTTCCGGTTCTACCTTTCCGTTCCCCCCATTATTATTATTATTACTACACTACCTCACACTAATTTGGTCGTCATTGTTCTTTTTTTTGTTTTACGCTACTTACCTCCTTTTTCGCTCTTCCCATTCTTATTGTTTGTGTGGTGCATATATATTTGGTACCCCCTTGTACCAATATTTATGTGCTCAAATAAATAACTTATTGATAGCATTAATAAAAGACTGTCATATCAAAAGTAAACTAAAGTTGAAAATACAGACCATTAAGATCTAACTCAATAATTCCAAAATACCATTGATATCGAGACTTAAGTTCATTGTTTGGAAGTCAGTATTCAACTCTGTCTATTTCACGTTCTCATGATATTCCTTTGAAAACGTAAATGAAGTCCTCACTAAACTAATCTAAGAAGAATTCTTCAGAATAAATTCCCGAGGTCATTGTAGCAAGTTGTTTTGTACCTGTTAGGAGAATGGAGAAGCTAATTTCCATTAGTCATTCTAGTCTAATAGTAGCTACTATAGAGTTCAGTAGGAACAAGGAAAACATCCGGTCCCATTCGAGTATTAGCAATTACTGAAGTATCGATTTCTTCAACAAGTGTTTTAAGATTTTCTTAGGACTATTCTTGAAAAAACTGTTTCGAACTGTCCCATGAGATGGTTAGGATCCAGAACTTATCATTTGGTCATTTCTGTATTATATCACAGAATTAGTGTGCAAATATAAATGTACTTTTATATACGCTTCATTGTTTATATTTCTTCTAGTCCTTATTAACGTTGAATATGATTAACCATGTGTGCTTTATTGTTTATTCAATAAACGGCATCTATCAAATTAAGTGTGATTTCAACTTAATTTAACTCAGCAGTCGAAGGATGAAAAAACCTTAATTCCTGCCTTAGATACCATATCACAAATAGTCACCAAAGACGAATACTTCTCCCAGTAAACAAAAGTGAAATGACCACATTTCATGGACATCGTAGAGCATGTTCCCAACTAATTGGTCAGGTGTACAAGTAGATCATAAGAAAGACAATGAAACAGTTTATATTTGGACTAATCATAGGAGCTGCCATACAAACAGTAAGGAAATGGTTCTGCCAGTAGTCCAACTAGAGATTTAAATAACTTTTGTATCACGGTTCTCAAACCACAGATCTAATTGCTAAAAATGTTTCATTCATTAGGGACATATTGTAGAAGTTTGACCTATCATAGGATTGTAACCATTATGTCTTAGCAACTGAAATATTCTTACCTTTTGTAAAACTACATAAACATCTGAATACCTGAATGTATTAATGGTAATAATAAAACACCGACCAACCAATGACCTCAACTGAAAACTCAACAATCTATACAACCACATACTGATAAATACAATTTTGTTTGGTAGTTGATACGCATATCTACCCAAAACCTGAGAAAGGGTGTGCATCAGGTCTACACACCCACATCCAAGTATCAAATCAGGCCGGTTTTCTCAGGTTTGCTCTTTACGAACCTTAGTTAGGCGTCAGATGATTATCAATACTAACCCTTAAGACATTACACCTAACATACTGACCCCCCTTTGGTCACCACAGCAGGATTTCCGTCTTCCCTTATCAACTGGGACAACCAGCGGTCGAGAACAGTCGGAGGAGATTACCTCCAGCTCCCAAACTCAAGATATGATAACACTACGCTGGTCCCAAGAGTGAGAGATGAGCTCAGCATGGTATTCTACAGAGGCGTATCGTCTAACTTGGTACAAGTCTTAAATGTTTAGAGCATCAATATGAAGTCCGGAGGGTTGTTTCAGGAGATAAAAGAATAACGCTTCTCAAGTTCAAATCGTTGAAGCTGGTTGCGTAAGTAGACCAAAGCGGTCAATGAGAGTTGGTAACATCCCCAGAAAAACTGATCCTGATGTTCGGCAGGGAAACTAATGTTGCCAGTGTGGGCGCTGACACTGACCACGCCGTAGTAAAGAGCCCACGAAACAAGCTATTCCACAACTCTGAGCGAGTGACCACGGAGCCAAACACAAGGGTGTCTAGACCTAGTCAGTCAGTCTCCTTGTAAACAATTTTGAAATGTTGACAACATCCTTCCAAACCATGAGTACGTCACCCCATTGCTCTACAATTCCTACATAGGAAACCATTAAAACCACAGACACTAGCACATCGTGACGTTGATATTTGCTCGGCCTGGAAGACCCCAGGAACGGTGACGAGATTCCTACTAAACAAAGGGGCCTACACATCATATCCACATTTACGGACTTTTCACAATACCGGGAACGCCGTGTCAACTGATGAAACATTCAAGGACCTCAGCTAATCAGTACAATATGCCAGCCACTTGGGATGACAGACGAGAAGAGACAGGTCCCAATAGTTTTTCGTACCGATAGCTGTTGAAGTGCTAACTTTCCAAATTCGCATACAAACCTAGTTTTGTTGGACTTCGCTACAAGCGTGATTAGAAGCCACCCCGAAACATATTTCCCACACGACAAGCCCCGACTGTTACACAAATCTAAGTCTATCACTGTTTGGATTGTTTTGCGAATATAGGTACCTGCCAAAATGCAACACGAGTGTTAGAGGTGCATTAACGACGCACTATGGCATGCTATTTTCCTAAGTGCATAAAACTGCGAGATGACTGACAAAACTAGACATCCCAATGGTCTTATAACGCATTTAAATCTCCCCATAGAGAACCTACCACGTCAATGATAAAACGTATAGTAAATTGTAAACGTACACTTAAGGAAAGCCGAGATTGTACTAGACTTATCAATGACCACGAAAATAAACACAACCCTTAAAACATTCCAAATACGATCAACAAAGATTAGCAAGTGTAACAAAACCATTAGTGAAAACTAATTAATCCAATTAGAATGAAGTTAGGCAATCACCTAAAAATCCACATAGAATACACAACACCAGTTAACTTATGATGGTACAAACGGGTGTAAAAATGCCACGAAATGAAACGAATTTGTTAATTTAAAGGTTGACATTGACTATATAGGGATCAGATGTCTGTAATGACAAGTCCTAAGTCTATAAACAAGATAAGAAATACTAAACCTTTTGTTATGAACCGTAGAAATTGCCACGTACAAGTACATTTTCAACAAAACGACAGATCTTTTAGTATAGAAATTTATAGTATTACAGCAATTAATATAAGAATGCATAAAGCTTCGAATAAAAAAGCTGAAAGGAATAAAAACGTTCTGATTAGGGAAAGGCGCAGATTACACGAGCGAAATGAACATTTTTGAGTGATCAGTGGATAGCTTTTTCCGCAGCAATGTCTAAAATGAAGAACGAAAGATTTAGTAAAAAGTTACACAAAACTTTGTGGTCAGAATACAATTTCATTAAGGAAAGTCTCATAGAAGTGTCTTACCTTCCTTGGTAGGAAGAGGGTTCTTTTCTTTTGTTGAAGTACGTTTCAAAGAATGTGGTGTTTCGATCTCTTGTAGCAGCTGTTTCTCAGTTTTCTCCTTCTCAATAACTGCAGAGAAAGGATAAACAAACAAAATCATTGACCTGAAGTTGGGTTACCAATCTTATATTGCTCCGTTATCAAATGACAAAACTTGGTGTATCGCGGTACAACGTCCCAATGGCAAGCTTTGTTGCAGGCACTAGTCGTAGTTGAAGGACAAGCAAGAGTAGAGTACGATGGACAAGTACATCCTGTTTCGTGAAGTACTTAAATAACCCATGAGCTTGGGTATTTATTTCTTCTAATATTTACATTTGGCAACATGCTACGAGAGGAATATTTGTCGCTAAGGTCACTTCGGTAGCTGTGGATTTTTGAGGTGTGGTCAGAAGCGTCATCTGAAAGTTTAAAACAAACAGCATAGCAGTCCCGTTACACTTCACAAGCCTTGAGATAGCTTTTCAAGTTGTCAATCGCACTTCCTTGACCATATTTCTGCGTAGCCTACTGCAATGAGCAGTACGCCTTGATACCTATAATGAGGTTGGGCGATTGATCAACAAAAATGCTAATCCGTACATACCCTAAGTCAACACGGTTTGTACTTACTGGCCAATTCAGAACAATCTGATAAATTAGGATTTTAAAGCTTACCGATACCCAGAGACAACATTTACCGAACAGAATTTGAGGAGATTCATAGAAACAATGACAACGGAAGGACTACAAGCTAGGGCGGCAGTCTGTTTAGTTGATATAAAATTTGGTAAGGCTATCCCCAAATCATGAGAATGAGCAACAACAGAATGGGACAATCCAACTCAATAGCAGCTAGGCTCAATTTTATTCTAATTACTGACAGTGTTGGGGTGAGTTTTGGAATAGTTGAACCAATACCCAAAAACAAAAGTACACTGTATTGTATTTAAAAGGATGTCTTCTGTTGTTCATCAATTGATTTAAGTGATAGTATACTATCACCCCCTTATAGTGGGGTGCCAAACAGCAAGCAAAACTACATAAGCAGATAGTACGAAATCCAAAAACGAGAACTTTTGCCTCTTACCTTCTTTGTTTGGCAATACGACTTTCTCTTCAGTCTCAACATGCCGTAATTTCTGTTTGTCAAAACCGTCGATATCTTCTAACACTTTGCCTGCGTCAGCCATATTTTACTACTTGAAACAGATCTTTCGTCTGACAGTATAACTTCTTAGTTCAGTAAAACAAAGCCGTTTGCAAGATAATGTACAGTTTTTTAACAACCCGAGAACTTTGACAAACCAATAGCATTAGGTCAGTGTATTATTATAAGATTGACATTTTGAGTATAATGTACTTCTAACTCCAACAGCATGGTTTTAGGAAGGGCTACTCTTGTATAACCAACATGCAGATTGCGGTGGACAGATGGACAAGCATCCTCGATCGCAAATGAAAGGTTGACATTATCTACCTAAATTTCTCAAAAGCTTTTGATAAGAATAACCATTTATGTCTTATTAATAAGCTCAAACGCCTAGGTGTCCGACTACCTCTAATCGACTGGCTTACTTCACACCTGAAAAATCGACACTTTAAGGTAAGGGTTAATTTCACTTTATCTCAGGCTATGGAATGTCCTAGTGAGGTCTCCCAGGGCTCAGTACTAGGACCTCTTCTCTTCTTGATCTACATAAATGATCTTCCTCAACAGGTAATGTCAGAATTATTACTCTTTGCCGATGATGTTAAACTTTGGAGAGAGATACGCAATCAAGACGATATGCAGGCACTTCAGAAGGATCTGACTCGACTCCAAAGATGAGCAGATAATAATGGACTTACTCTTAACACTTCAAAGTGTAAAGTAGTCCATCTGCGACATGTCGCAGACTACAGTTATAACTTGGGAAACTCCTCTTTAGTAGTATCCCAAGTCGAAAAAGATTTAGGAGTCCAGATGCCCCATGATTTAAAGTCATACGCTAACTGTGACAAAATGCCCTCCGAGCAAACCTTGCTTTGGTAACGTTGAAGCGCATTTTTGGATAGTTCGACGGAAGAACTTTCCATATAATCTTCAATAGTTTTATCCGTTCCCATTTAGAGTACGAAAACATGGTATTTCCCTCCTCACTCCAAAAGGACAAGGTCACTTTGGAGCGTATCCAACGGCGAGCCACGAAATCAGTTCGAGGACTCAAATTCAAACCTTACGAAGAGCGCCTCCATTCACTAGACCGTTATCAATTAGAGTATAGACGTCTTAGAGGTGACCTTCTGATGGCTTACAGTATCCTTAACACTTCTGGACATCCTCTTAAACACCTACTTAAGCTTAGTTCTAACACTAACCTAAGGGGTAACACCCAAAAACTGGAGACACAACATAGCAGAACGGACTGTAGACACAACTTCTATTCCTTAAGAGTTGTCAAATGCTGGAATTCGCTGCCGGCCGAGCTAGTCCAAGCGACTTCCCAAGAGTCATTTAAGAGGCAACTTGACCTATTCTTAAAGACCAGGGACAGCATCATAGTATGATTTACCGATTTCTTTTTCCTCTTTTATTGTTAATATACCTAGGTTCCTGCCTGGAGGATTTAGTGATCCCCTGCTACTAGACACGGAAGCCTGTTAAGCGAAAGCTTCTTCTATTCCGTCCACAACTATTCGAACATTTGAACCATTTGATAATGTAGTTGTTTGCTGTTACGTAATTTAGGAAATCAGGATGACTATAAGATCATCAAAATGCCGTCAGCGAACTCTCAGATGTAATCGACTATTTCCAGATACTCTACTTGTGCACTGAATTTCTCGATGTGACTAACCCCCTGCTTGGATAAGAGATCTGTTCACAACCGTAATAAAATACGATATTGTATCAACTATGAATGACATTGCAAGGAAATGATATTTCATTTCCAGTTTAGTAAGGACATTATGCAGAAGCTTCTTTATTCGTCCGGACACTGTGATTCGTCAGTTATTTCAAATTTTTGTGAACGTAAGGATGCTACAAGTATTCGGAGTTTGACAACAGCTTAACCAGAAACACGTTTTTGATCGAATTGTGCCAACTCGCTCAAATTAGAAACCAAAAATGAAGGAGTTCGAAGATATATTTATAAGGCCGTCGTTACGTTGAGGAATATTTTGTCTAGGCTGACTAATAGTTGAAAGGGATATGTAGCATGGTTTATCCACTCGTGATCTGGTGCGGATGCATGATCGAGCGTCTTCAGCTAAGTTAGTCTGTAGCATTATGGTCTACTATGATATTAGTACTGTGCTAACAATAGACCTAATCCTAAAATTGTAGACTTGTCACGATATAACTGCCTAATCTATAAGATTTTACGTAGAAGTCATACCATCGTCTACACCAACTCATCGTATTATAACAATCACCAATACATGATGTAGAATAAGCCTAGACAAGGCCGAGCCATGCCATCCGATTAACTCCAATGAATTCAACTCCTTGTTCCCGCCTTCTCCATCGTTAAGTGTTTCACCGCGTTAAATAATCAATTTTTTTCCGAGTTGTCTCGTGCTCAGCTTTCAGGATTGTGTGGTTATGGTACTATGCCACTACAAGTCCATTGAGATTAGTGTTGTCGGCATCAAATGTCGAAAACGTACAGAACCACTGCTTTGAGGGATTTATTTGCTACTACATCTCACTTTCTACTTAGTGAGGTGGTGATGACCTTAGCACGTGACCAGTCAGAATTTTAAACTCAACGAGTTTTTCTTTGTAAAATATTCTTCTGATAGCTTGTTATGTTCAGCAGCGTCGGTTAGTCTTTCCTTACTATACAGGGTAATGTATTTCGATTCTTCGTAATCTCCGTCGGTTTTTCATCCTTCCCAGCCGTCCTGAAAAAGGAAAAATACAATGTGTAGCTGCATGTCGAACTACATTCGTACATGCGTAAGGACACAAAACGGGTGGAAAAAAGGAAAGTAAACATACATACATGCGTTTCGTATACATGCAATAGCGTGGGAGTGGTTTTCGCACAATGAATATTTGTTATATTTTTTCGAAAAAATTTCATACGTATAAGCGTATTCGTAGTCAAGAAATATCCTTGTTTTCTCTTTGAGTAAAAAAATAAATATAAATCAGCGTATAAAAGAGGCTTGTTTTCGTCTTTTTCGACATAATTAAAGCAAAAATCGAGACGAAACAATGCGTTATATAGTGTCTTATGTGTAGTAATCGTTTAGATGCTTTGGAAAACTTACCCTCCTTTTAGAATGCGCTCTTTTAGGCTGGCCGTCAGATACTACCAAAATTTCGTCACCACGGTTTATGATAGGGTGAAGTGTTGTAATTGTCGGGCCTATGTCTTTCGATTGTACTATGGGAAAGTCAACATTTTTAGGGTGTCCTTCTAAGAATGCGTCTTTAATTCCGTTCATATCGACGATATGATACTTAAGTTGACCCTGAAGGACTTTGGAGAGTCCTTCGAACGCTGTTTCGAGAGGTCGTCCAAGTGAGTCGTGACATCCGAATACGTGATTATTATACCGTAAGGCAGGTTGAATGAAAACACCAGTTGATTTCGATCGAGTGGAAACAGTTTTAACTGCTTAATCCATATGACCATACGTGAAAGTGATACTATCGTATATACTGACTCGATCTACGTGTCATTCGGGTATATTGTTTATAATAATTAAAGGAAACGACGATTATTGAGAAGGACAGCTTATTTAATGACATGTACGGACAGACGATTGCTAGAATTGCTAACCAACAGTTCAGGGAATAAATGTTTTACATGAAATCCGTTTGTATTTAGCCTCAGATGGATTGGCTAGAAGTACTTAATAATAGTGTGAATGTGATTTGGAAATCGTAGGTTCGGACAACACTCGTGTGCGAATATATTAAATTTAGACAACCCAGAGGCGAAAAAAGAATGGGATGATATTTTTCAATAAAGATCCATTTGATTTGTATATGGATGGAGTGTATCGATCGATTTAAATTTGGCCATCCAAACTACGTTAACATATGATTTATGTAGGACTTACTAGCAAGTACTCAATGGGTGAGTGCCTAGTAGGTCCGAAAATAGGTATACAGAGAAACGATATTCCATAATGTTTTATACAAATATAATAATGCATGATTGACCACATTATGGTTGGGAGAGACCGTATTTAAATGTATGCATCAGGTACACAAGAGACTTATTCATGTTGCAGCGAATTGAGAGAGTACGAAATGTGATTCCATTTGCATGTGTATTCAGTAAAATATAATCAGTTTGTTTACTTTGCTTACCTACACCTGTTACTTCTTGTCGAGGGGCATAGGCCGACCACCAGCATTCTCCATCGAACTCTGTCTTGGGTAATTCCTTTCTGGTTTTTCCAGTCGCTATCCATCCTTTTCATGTCTATTTCCGATTCTTGACGCAGTGTGTTATTTGGTCCTCCACTTTTCCGTTTCTCTTCAGGATTACAAGTTAGCGCTTGCTTCGTGATGCAGTTTGATGATTTCCTCAGTATGTGTCCTATCCACTCCCAACGTCTTTTTTTAATTTCTTCTCCAGACGGAAGCTGGCTTATTCTCTCCCACAGTAGGCTGTTTCTGATGGTAGTCGGCCACGAATATGGAGTATCTTGTGTAGACAGATATTTAGATATTTAGTTCTTTGCGCCTCAGCTTAGTACAGTAGAACTGTCTTGACGTGAGTATTGAAGATTCTAACTTTCATGTTGGTTGGCAGCTGTTTTGAATTCCATATGTTCTATCAATCCTCGCCCTTATCTCCACATCTGGTTTTAAAAGTTGCTTAGCTTAGATCAGTTTCTGGTCTCATTAAAAATCAACAATCTTCGCAACCAATACACTAGTGTTTTGCTGAAAAGCAGTGGGTCCTTAACCCTTTCATAACCAACCAGGGGGTAGAAGTTTCATGTGAACGATATATTATGACAGGACTAAGAGTTAGCATGTGGACTCACGAACTTTAACATTAAAGTTAGCATAATTTAGAAAAACAGTAACTCCAATTCTTAATCACAATTCCAAACCCTATTTTAATATTCGTGTATGACCATGAGGTCACTGTCCCAATCTCCATTAGTACAGTAGCAAACTTCAGGTTTATCGGACAAATAAAGATAATTTACAGAAAAGGTGCATCGATAGTCTTAGAGAATGCACGCATATTTATGTGTGTAAACAAACTTTCGCAACTAACTCATGGAAAACTAGTGGCTTTCATGAACCCATTCAAAAACAGACCTTGCAATATTAACGCGGTAACTCAA